TGCAGCTCGGCGAGCTCTGGGCAGACACGGTCGGATCAAGCAGTAGCCGGCACGACATGTGCCAGAGAATGTTCACACTGCAGCTTGGTCATGATTTTTCCAGACGTCCCGTAGAGCAGTGAGTTGCGATAATTGAGCATTGTCGGTACTACGCTACATGCCACTGTGTCGGCTACGCCACGACTAAATAGTGGCCGAATTTGTCGTAGGGTCCAGATATGAAAATGGCATGACGTGACTGTATTTTGCAGGTGCTCATCAAACGACATTCTGGTCGAGTTTGGTGCTGATGCTCTTTTGATGAGAAGAAAACTGGATCCTGGAGTCTGCGACCACCATACCTAATCCTCCCACAAATGTTTTCACCTGAGCCTGAGTTCCAACCAGCTGAACCTCCCATTATTCTAGATTAAGCAGCATTTCATGTCTTGCAAACCACCGCTCGTGTGCAATCTTCGAGGTTACCAAGGCTTTCCATACCTAACTTTGACTTCACTGCAGTGTACAATTGTATATCATCAGCATATTGATGGAACTTCATGTCATGCGATGAGATGACATCAGCGATCGGGGAGATGTTGAAAACAGGAACGTCCCGAGGAGGGACCCTTGTGGTACGCCAACTAGGCACGGCATCGACGACGACCGCTCGTCACCCAACTTGAAGAGCCGCGATCGACCACGTAGGTACCACTCAATCCACCCCAGTGCCGTACCGATACACCGACCCTTGACCTTACCCGCCCGATGAGCATCTCACGGTCGATGGTGTCCAAGGCGGCTGAGAAATTGAGGGCACCGGCGACCCGCGATCTTGTCGAGGTCATCGGAGAGCTCCGGTACAAGGGAGCCTGAACCTAGGACCGTTTCTCGGTGTGGGCCGTGAGCGCCGCCACTGCGCTGCCGCCCAGGGTACGTATCGCTGTGCAGGATCTGACTTGCACGTGTCGTGGGGTGAGCGCGCGACACCTGCAGCCACTAGAGGCCGCCACACTCAGCCGAGTAAAACAGCATTCTGACAATCAAGACGAGGCCACACTTGCCACATGGCGTCCCCATTCCATTTTATTCCGTGACCGGGCTGCGCAGTGAACGGCGAACCACTCCGATGCGAATGCGACGAGGAGGAAAGCGCTCCCAATCTCTCTCTTCGTGCGCCAAGCCGAGAATGCTACGCGTCAATCGAGCAAACATTTTAATGTTCACAATAGGAATGAAACAAATATATGTCTTAACCAAAATACACACGAATACTCTTCTAATGTGAGCAGGGTTATTTTCTTTTCTGTGTCGTCTCAGCCTGGTGAGTGGACTGAAGCGGTGGATGCGACCTTTCTCTCTCTGAACGCCGCGACTTTACCAACGCAGCAAGCCGACGAGCGGGAGAAGCATCAGAGAGGCGGCAGAGAGACCCGTGGAGTGAAGGGAGGCGGCGGAACCCTTGGTGGTGGCCCGGGCGGTGGTTGACGCAGTTGATTTCGCCGTGCCAAGGGAGGCGGTGGAACCCTTGGTGGTGGTTGACGCGGTTGATTTCGCCGTGCCAAGGGAGGCGGTGGAACCCTTGGTGGTGGTTGACGCGGTTGATTTCGCCGTGCCAAGGGAGGCGGTGGAACCCTTGGTGGTGGTTGACGCGGTTGATTTCGCCGTGTCAAGGGAGGCGGTGGAACCCTTGGTCGTGGTTGACGCGGCTGCTGCCGTGCCGCTGTTTTGGCGAGTGTAGAGGTAGGGGTACTCCTGCAACAAGAAGAAGGCCCCAAACGGGGAAGACAGAGCATGCACATGTGAAGTATTGGAAATGACGGCAGGAACTTCTTGACGGGTAACACACTTTTATTAAATCTTGACGTGTCACAATACAACGTGTGGTCTCTATTCTTCTGACTATACACTCCACTTAACTCGTGTAGACTCTATGCCTCTGGCTACACACAATGCACTTGACTCGTGTAGACCCTATGCCTCTGGCTACACACCATGCATTCGACTCGTGTAGACCCTATGCCTATGGCTACCCACCATGCATTCGACTCGTGTAGACCCTATGCCTATGGCTACACACAATGCATTCGCCTCTGGGTTACACAGAGTCCCGGTCCCGTTAGGACAGCGGGACTAGGTACCGCAGGGCCCTATCTCTTCATCCCCGTCTTCATTCTTCGCTGGTTACATACTGCTTTTACGCCTGTGTGCATCCCCTTTTATAGCCCCTGCTCACGGGAGACGGAGCTGATGCGGACGTCGACGTGAGCATCGCTCCTTAGTTAACCAATGACGACGCGCTATCTCTACGATCCGTTTTCCCCAGCGCGTGTTAACACTACTCAACCAATCACACCGCGCTGCCACCCGATCACTCCCTCTCAGCGCGTCACCGGCACACAGCCAATCAGCACCACGTAACCCACGACCCCGCGCTGACCCCTGATCCTCCACCGTCAGCGCGCGTCACCACATACACAGCCAATCACTACGCGCTGGCACACGATCCCTACCCCAGCGCGTATCACCACTACATCACCCCCTCCCACATAGCTCGCAGCCGGCCCGGCTGCTAACCAACAACACAACCCAACGTCAACGCAATAAAAAAAAAACCCCACCCCCCAGTGTGCCCCGTAACGCAACAACAACAACACAACAGCAACACTTAAATAAGAAGCAATGTACAGCCCGACGAACAACACAATAAAAGCGAACTCCAGAAAACGAACGCGCCAAGTGTCCCTGTGACTAAACGCAGTGACGAGGCGCTCCGGCTGCCTCGACTCCTCACGTGGTAGGTCATAAAAAGTAGCGCGACCTAGCGCGAGTCCGTCTGGCCGGTCCGTCGTATGGGACGGGACGCTGACGACCGTCCGGTGGCTCCGGCAGCTCTAGACGGCGCGGATCGGGCCTGGAAGGACCGGCCCCGCCGCGCAGATCCGGCCGCCGGTGGTCGGCAGCTGTCAGTTCCGAGACACCTGGGAGCGGATCAGGCGGAGACATGTGAGGATCAGGCAAAGACATTTCCCCCTTAGGGTCGTCGGTCACGTCACATGCTCGGCCCTCACGACACAAGGGGAGGCCATATGGAGGCGAGAACGGTTTCAGTCGGGAGGGGTGGACGTACCAACGGCGCTTTCCCCATTTTATCTGAACGCACTGGGGGCGTGCAACCCGCACGACCTCCACGGGTCCCCGCCATGGCTTCAACAATTTAGGCGACGTAGCCAAAGGTGCCTGAGGGCAATGCAGCCAGGCCCTGTCACCTGGTTCCCAGTTGTGCACGGACACCTTCCGTGCACGCAACCGCTCGTTTGCAATTTGGCGAGCCCGCGAATTAAGCCGTGCGGCCTCCCTTGCCTCCGTCAGCTTATGAATATTAAATTTAATATGCTCTGCCAATTTCGAATTAGTTCGTGGTGCGGGCAGGCCCAGCTGCGTTTCCATGGGCGGGTCGGCTTCCCGACCGTACATCAGATAGAACGGGGAAAATCCCGTAGCTGCATGGGGGGCCATTCTATACGCGGCGAGGACCCCAGGGACCTGCAGGTCCCAATCAACATGTGCCTCACACACCTGCTGGCACAGCATAGAAGTCAATGTCCTGTGGAGTCTCTCCACCATCCCGTCCGTCTGCGGGTGGTACGGGGAGGTACGCACCTTCTTAGTACCCAACAGGTCGCACGCCTCTTGCAGCAATTTACTTGAAAAATGTTTCCCTTGGTCGGTCAGCAAACGTTCGGGAGCCCCGTTGTCCAGGACGTAGCCCTGGACAAAGGCGTCCGTCACAGCCGCCGCCGACTGGTTTAGTCACAGGGACACTTGGCGCGTTCGTTTTCTGGAGTTCGCTTTTATTGTGTTGTTCGTCGGGCTGTACATTGCTTCTTATTTAAGTGTTGCTGTTGTGTTGTTGTTGTTGCGTTACGGGGCACACTGGGGGGTGGGGTTTTTTTTTTATTGCGTTGACGTTGGGTTGTGTTGTTGGTTAGCAGCCGGGCCGGCTGCGAGCTATGTGGGAGGGGGTGATGTAGTGGTGATACGCGCTGGGGTAGGGATCGTGTGCCAGCGCGTAGTGATTGGCTGTGTATGTGGTGACGCGCGCTGACGGTGGAGGATCAGGGATCAGCGCGGGGTCGTGGGTTACGTGGTGCTGATTGGCTGTGTGCCGGTGACGCGCTGAGAGGGAGATATGAAAATGGCATGACGTGACTGTATTTTGCAGGTGCTCATCAAACGACATTCTGGTCGAGTTTGGTGCTGATGCTCTTTTGATGAGAAGAAAACTGGATCCTGGAGTCTGCAACCACCATACCTAATCCTCCCACAAATGTTTTCACCTGAGCCTGAGTTCCAACCAGCTGAACCTCCCATTATTCTAGATTAAGCAGCATTTCATGTCTTGCAAACCACCGCTCGTGTGCAATCTTCGAGGTTACCAAGGCTTTCCATACCTAACTTTGACTTCACTGCAGTGTACAATTGTATATCATCAGCATATTGATGGAACTTCATGTCATGCGATGAGATGACATCAGCGATCGGGGAGATGTTGAAAACAGGAACGTCCCGAGGAGGGACCCTTGTGGTACGCCAACTAGGCACGGCATCGACGACGACCGCTCGTCACCCAACTTGAAGAGCCGCGATCGACCACGTAGGTACCACTCAATCCACCCCAGTGCCGTACCGATACACCGACCCTTGACCTTACCCGCCCGATGAGCATCTCACGGTCGATGGTGTCCAAGGCGGCTGAGAAATTGAGGGCACCGGCGACCCGCGATCTTGTCGAGGTCATCGGAGAGCTCCGGTACAAGGGAGCCTGAACCTAGGACCGTTTCTCGGTGTGGGCCGTGAGCGCCGCCACTGCGCTGCCGCCCAGGGTACGTATCGCTGTGCAGGATCTGACTTGCACGTGTCGTGGGGTGAGCGCGCGACACCTGCAGCCACTAGAGGCCGCCACACTCACCCGAGTAAAACAGCATTCTGACAATCAAGACGAGGCCACACTTGCCACATGGCGTCCCCATTCCATTTTATTCCGTGACCGGGCTGCGCAGTGAACGGCGAACCACTCCGATGCGAATGCAACGAGGAGGAAAGCGCTCCCAATCTCTCTCTCCGTGCGCCAAGCCGAGAATGCTACGCGTCAATCGAGCAAACATTTTAATGTTCACAATAGGAATGAAACAAATATATGTCTTAACCAAAATACACACGAATACTCTTCTAATGTGAGCAGGGTTATTTTCTTTTCTGTGTCGTCTCAGCCTGGTGAGTGGACTGAAGCGGTGGATGCAACCTTTCTCTCTCTGAACGCCGCGACTTTACCAACGCAGCAAGCCGACGAGCGGGAGAAGCATCAGAGAGGCGGCAGAGAGACCCGTGGAGTGAAGGGAGGCGGCGGAACCCTTGGTGGTGGCCCGGGCGGTGGTTGACGCGGTTGATTTCGCCGTGCCAAGGGAGGCGGTGGAACCCTTGGTGGTGGTTGACGCGGTTGATTTCGCCGTGCCAAGGGAGGTGGTGGAACCCTTGGTGGTGGTTGACGCGGTTGATTTCGCCGTGCCAAGGGAGGCGGTGGAACCCTTGGTGGTGGTTGACGCGGTTGATTTCGCCGTGCCAAGGGAGGCGGTGGAACCCTTGGTGGTGGTTGACGCGGTTGATTTCGCCGTGTCAAGGGAGGCGGTGGAACCCTTGGTCGTGGTTGACGCGGCTGCTGCCGTGCCGCTGTTTTGGCGAGTGTAGAGGTAGGGGTACTCCTGCAACAAGAAGAAGGCCCCAAACGGGGAAGACAGAGCATGCACATGTGAAGTATTGGAAATGACGGCAGGAACTTCTTGACGGGTAACACACTTTTATTAAATCTTGACGTGTCACAATACAACGTGTGGTCTCTATTCTTCTGACTATACACTCCACTTAACTCGTGTAGACTCTATGCCTCTGGCTACACACAATGCACTTGACTCGTGTAGACCCTATGCCTCTGGCTACACACCATGCATTCGACTCGTGTAGACCCTATGCCTATGGCTACACACCATGCATTCGACTCGTGTAGACCCTATGCCTATGGCTACACACAATGCATTCGCCTCTGGGTTACACAGAGTCCCGGTCCCGTTAGGACAGCGGGACTAGGTACCGCAGGGCCCTATCTCTTCATCCCCGTCTTCATTCTTCGCTGGTTACATACTGCTTTTACGCCTGTGTGCATCCCCTTTTATAGCCCCTGCTCACGGGAGACGGAGCTGATGCGGACGTCGACGTGAGCATCGCTCCTTAGTTAACCAATGACGACGCGCTATCTCTACGATCCGTTTTCCCCAGCGCGTGTTAACACTACTCAACCAATCACACCGCGCTGCCACCCGATCACTCCCTCTCAGCGCGTCACCGGCACACAGCCAATCAGCACCACGTAACCCACGACCCCGCGCTGACCCCTGATCCTCCACCGTCAGCGCGCGTCACCACATACACAGCCAATCACTACGCGCTGGCACACGATCCCTACCCCAGCGCGTATCACCACTACACATGCACGGCCTCCGTGACGATTGGGAAAGTATTTACTCAGCGGTGACAACAACAATAACGACAAAGACGACAACAATAACGATGACAACTATGACGACGACAACAAATATTTATTTGAGAGAAATGCACATCCTTTGAGAGTACACTCACCGACTGACCCACACACCGACTCACCCACTCACTCACCCAGCCACTCACTCAGCCACTCACCCACCCACTCAGCCACTCACTCACCTACTCACTCACTCAGCCACTCACTCACTCATCTATCCACTCCCCCAACCACTCATTCACCTACCAACTCACTCACCCGTGTACCCAATGCAGCCATTGCAGCTGCATGAGCCACAGTCCTAAACCTCACCTATTTCCCCTCGACATCAGGGGGAGTGGGGGAAGATGCCAACCCCAGCTGCAAGCGATGATGAAATTCTCGCTTGCAAATTTCATCAGCTAGCCACTATGGGTTTGAATTGGGTCCTGGGTGTACACCCACCACCAGAGTGGAAGAATGGCAGGCGCATCTTACAGATGGCAAGTCAATGTTAAGTGGGCAGATAGTCCAGCAGATGTTATTGCTTGGACCCGGCATGCATCCATGATGCTGTGTGGATGCACCAATGCCGGAACAGCGTGTTGGTATATACAAGCCCATGGGTTGAGCTGATCTGGCCCATGCCTTCCAATTACTCCAGACCAGGTGCCAGCATCATGACCAAGTTGGGCATTAAAGTCACCCAACAGGATGACTCTATCCCGAGGGGCCACTTTAGCTAGCACCTGTGACAGGTCATTGGAGGCATCTGACTCATCGACCTGGCCTGCATCCCTCCACTGATGTTCATCTTCGGTGGAGGCATAAGTAACCACGACCACCGCTTCTCACCTCTGGTTGATGGGAAGCTTTGTTGGATTTTTTTTCGTGGTTTAGTGGTAATTTATTTGAAGGTGCGGGGGTTACCAGCCTCTCGCACCCGTCCAGAGCCCCCTTTGGCCGCTGTAGTGGCTACAAACGCCATGAGGGGAATGGCCAATCAAAATTGGCCCTCCCCCCATGGCACTGCTCACCACAGCGTTAACGTCTGGCACCACACATCTACCCACTCACTCACTCGCCCACTCACCCACCTACTCGTCTACCCACTCACTCACCCTCAAAGTGCACCTATCCTGGCACAAGCAGTGTGCGGTGTGTCAGTGCCTCACCTCGCTGGGGCACACGATTTGAGGAGGGGGGTGCGTGAGTTGTGCCAGCACCGTTTTGGCTCCTTCTGGCTCCATCTTGGCACGGGGGGAGGGGAGATGGAGACGGGGGAGGAGGTGGAGGAGAGGGGGGAGGGGGAGGAGAGGGGGGCAGTGAGAGGGGGATAGGGGTGAATGAGAGGGGGAGGAGAGGGGAAGGAGAATGGGAGGGGGGAGGAGAGGGGGGAGGAGAGGGGGAAGGGGGAAGGAGAGGGGGGAGGAGAGGGGGAAGGGGGGAGGAGAGGGGGGAAGGGGGAAGGGGGGAGGAGAGGGGGAGAGGGGGGAGGAAAGGGGGAAAGGGGGAAGGGGGGAGGAGAGGGGGGAAGGGGGAAGGGGGGAGGAGAGGGGGAGAGGGGGGAGGAAAGGGGGAAAGGGGGAAGGGGGGAGGAGAGGGGGGAAGGGGGAAGGGGGGAGGAGAGGGGGGAAGGGGGAAGGGGGGAGGAGAGGGGGGAAGGGGGCAGTAAGAGGGGAAGAAATATGAATGCATCAATTGAGGATCACGTGATGTCCTATTGATGATGTCGATGCTGATGGTGGATAATGCTGATTACTATCGTGATCATATTGTTGATGCTGCGCATAATTCTTGTGATGCTGATGATGATGCTGATGATGATACTGATGCTCATAATGCCGGTGATGATGCTCATGATGATGCTGATGATGATGCTCATAATGCCGGTGATGATGATCATGATGATTCCGATCATGATGCTGGTAATGCTGATGGTGCTGAGGATGCTGCTAAATATGCTAATGATGCTGCTGAGGATGCTGATGCTGCTGATGAGGATGATGCTGCTGCTGATGATGCTGCTGATGATAATGCTGCTGATGATAATGATGCTGCTGCTGATAATGATGATGCTGCTACTGATGCTGCTGCTGATAATGCTGCTGCTGCTGCTGATGATGATGATGCTGCTGCTGATGATGATGCTGCTACTGCTGCTGATGATGATGCTGCACCATGTTGTTCCACAGCGCGCTGGTGAACGACTCGTGGCCCTTTGTGGCGAAGTGGAAGCAGTCGAGCGCAAAGAAGCTGCCGTCGACCTCGCCGTCCTGCGGGCACGGGGACATCGTCACCACCATCGTCATCACCATCGTCATCGCCATCGTCATCGTCACCACCATCGTCATCACCATCATCATCATCACCACCACCACGATCGTCATCATCGTCACCACCATAGTCACCACCATCATCACCACCATCGTCATCACAACGATCGTCGTCATGATCACCACCACCGTCATCGTCACCACCATCGTCATCGTCATCATCGTCATCATCATGATCACCACCATCGTCACCATCATCATCATTGTGATCATCATCAGGATCACCGTCATCACCATCGTCATCATTATTGTCCTCATCAACATTGTCGTCATCATCCATTCAATCATCATCGTCGTCATCATCATGGTCACCATCATCATGACATCATCACCATCACCACTGTGGTGAGTGCGTGGGACTGGGGGAGCGAGCATCAAGGAGCGTTTACGTGAACCGCTTATGAGGCTCCCTGAGGTCAACTTGGAATCGACTGGGAGTACGCAGTGCGAGGCATGAACACTGGGGAGACAAAGGCGGCCAGGGATGGTGCTGGTAACACCGCCCTTCAAGTGAGCCGTGTTGGCTGTCACAGGTGCTACTCGCTAACAGCACTTGGCCCAACAGCTTATGCAGGCTACACGGGGGACCTTTGTGTTACCGGCAGGGTGAGTGGCAGGGTGTCCCTGGTGCAGGGTGAGTGGCAGGGTGAGTGGCAGGGTGAGTGGCAGGGTGTCCCTGGTGCAGGGTGAGTGGCAGGGTGAGTGGCAGGGTGAGTGGCAGGGTGAGTGGCAGGGTGAGTGGCAGGGTGTCCCTGGTGCAGGGTGAGTGGCAGGGTGAGTGGCAGGGTGAGTGGCAGGGTGAGTGGCAGGGTAAGTGGCAGGGTGAGTGGCAGGGTGTCCCTGGTGCAGGGTGAGTGGCAGGGTGGGTGGCAGGGTGAGTGGCAGGGTGAGTGGCAGGGTGAGTGGCAGGGTGTCCCTGGTGCAGGGTGAGTGGCAGGGTGAGTGGCAGGGTGAGTGGCGGGGTGTCCCTGGTGCAGGGTGAGTGGCAGGGTGAGTGGCAGGGTGAGTGGCAGGGTGAGTGGCAGGGTGAGTGGCAGGGTGAGTGGCAGGGTGTCCCTGGTGCAGGGTGAGTGGCAGGGTGAGTGGCAGGGTGAGTGGCAGGGTGAGTGGCAGGGTGAGTGGCAGGGTGTCCCTGGTGCAGGGTGAGTGGCAGGGTGGGTGGCAAGGTGAGTGGCAGGGTGAGTGGCAGGGTGAGTGGCAGGGTGTCCCTGGTGCAGGGTGAGTGGCAGGGTGAGTGGCAGGGTGGGTGGCAGGGTGAGTGGCAGGGTGAGTGGCAGGGTGAGTGGCAGGGTGGGTGGCAGGGTGAGTGGCAGGGTGAGTGGCAGGGTGAGTGGCAGGGTGAGTGGCAGGGTGAGTGGCAGGGTAAGTGGCAGGGTGAGTGGCAGGGTGAGTGGCAGGGTGGGTGGCAGGGTGTCCCTGGTGCAGGGTGAGTGGCAAGGTGAGTGGCAGGGTGAGTGGCAGGGTGAGTGGCAGGGTGAGTGGCAGGGTGAGTGGCAGGGTGTCCCTGGTGCAGGGTGAGTGGCAGGGTGGGTGGCAGGGTGAGTGGCAGGGTGAGTGGCAGGGTGAGTGGCAGGGTGAGTGGCAGGGTGAGTGGCAGGGTGAGTGGCAGGGTGTCCCTGGTGCAGGGTGAGTGGCAGGGTGAGTGGCAGGGTGAGTGGCAGGGTGGGTGGCAGGGTGAGTGGCAGGGTGAGTGGCAGGGTGAGTGGCAGGGTGTCCCTGGTGCAGGGTGAGTGGCAGGGTGGGTGGCAGGGTGAGTGGCAGGGTGAGTGGCAGGGTGGGTGGCAGGGTGAGTGGCAGGGTGAGTGGCAGGGTGAGTGGCAGGGTGAGTGGCAGGGTGTCCCTGGTGCAGGGTGAGTGGCAGGGTGAGTGGCAGGGTGGGTGGCAGGGTGAGTGGCAGGGTGAGTGGCAGGGTGAGTGGCAGGGTGAGTGGCAGGGTGTCCCTGGTGCAGGGTGAGTGGCAGGGTGAGTGGCAGGGTGTCCCTGGTGCAGGGTGAGTGGCAGGGTGAGTGGCAGGGTGGGTGGCAGGGTGTCCCTGGTGCAGGGTGAGTGGCAGGGTGGGTGGCAGGGTGAGTGGCAGGGTGTCCCTGGTGCAGGGTGAGTGGCAGGGTGGGTGGCAGGGTGAGTGGCAGGGTGAGTGGCAGGGTGAGTGGCAGGGTGTCCCTGGTGCAGGGTGAGTGGCAGGGTGAGTGGCAGGGTGGGTGGCAGGGTGAGTGGCAGGGTGTCCCTGGTGCAGGGTGAGTGGCAGGGTGGGTGGCAGGGTGAGTGGCAGGGTGAGTGGCAGGGTGAGTGGCAGGGTGTCCCTGGTGCAGGGTGGGTGGCAGGGTGAGTGGCAGGGTGGGTGGCAGGGTGAGTGGCAGGGTGTCCCTGGTGCAGGGTGAGTGGCAGGGTGGGTGGCAGGGTGAGTGGCAGGGTGAGTGGCAGGGTGAGTGGCAGGGTGTCCCTGGTGCAGGGTGGGTGGCAGGGTGAGTGGCAGGGTGAGTGGCAGGGTGAGTGGCAGGGTGTCCCTGGTGCAGGGTGAGTGGCAGGGTGGGTGGCAGGGTGGGTGGCAGGGTGAGTGGCAGGGTGTCCCTGGTGCAGGGTGAGTGGCAGGGTGGGTGGCAGGGTGAGTGGCAGGGTGGGTGGCAGGGTGGGTGGCAGGGTGAGTGGCAGGGTGTCCCTGGTGCAGGGTGAGTGGCAGGGTGGGTGGCAGGGTGAGTGGCAGGGTGAGTGGCAGGGCGAGTGGCAGGGTGAGTGGCAGGGTGTCCCTGGTGCAGGGTGAGTGGCAGGGTGAGTGGCAGGGTGAGTGGCAGGGTGGGTGGCAGGGTGAGTGGCAGGGTGAGTGGCAGGGTGGGTGGCAGGGTGTCTCTGGTGCAGGGCTGTGTTACCGGCAGGGTGGGTGGCAGGGTGTCCCGGATGCAGGGCTGCAGGGCGACGGTGAAGGAGTCGTTGTGGTCATATCGCCCCGAGGCCAGCAGCGTCTCGAGCCCCCTCTGCGGGGTTGGGTGACAGGGGCCGCGCGTGTCGTCGTGTTACACGTGCACCCCCCTTTGTCACTCCACTTCTGTGGGGAGTTTGACCATTCTTCACCGCCCCCGTCGGTGCCGGTTTGGAGGACCGGGGATCGCGTCAGACGCCGCTCGGCATCCTCGCCACGGCCACGAATCAGAGCGAGGTCGCCAGGCTCGCGACGCGATGCGCTTACCGCTGCACCACCACTCCGCGCGTCTGCATGGGCTGCACCACGGTGGCTACGAGATGATAACTACCTCGCCCGGTGTGCAGGAGGTCGTGGGTTTGATCCCAACGCTGAGGCCTCCTGTTGTATATTTGGAATTTGTGTGTGTGGCTTTCTCGCTCTCTCCCCTTGGTCGCGTGTATTTTTCTGCGGGTCCTCTGGGCTTTCCCTCCACAATTAGAAAAAACGTCACGTCATTCAGAGTGTTTGGCTGCTGCTATAAACTTTCACGCGATGATGATGATAAGCCGCCACTTCGTTGAGCCGTCAGAAAGAGCTCCACAGCTCAGTGGGCCTTACCTGGTAAAATAAAACAGATATCGTTTAAAGTTTAGTTTTGCATTCATAACACGGCGCTTCCAGAAGATTCAGTGAGCGAACCAGCGTCTGGAACCCGGCACTGCAATGGCCTCGAGTGGGCAGGGGCTCTGAGACGGCCGTTAAGAGCCCCCTGGGGGAGAGAGAGAAGCCAAGAGCCAGGACTCGAACTCAGGTACTGGAGGTCTCTGGCTCAGAGTCACCGACCCGACAATCATGAATTCCCGAGCTGTCTCCATCCCCCACTCACTGCTGTTGTTAGTGTTGTTTTTTGTGTTGTTGTTGTTTGTGGTGTCATTGTATGTGTTGTTGTTTGTGTTATTGTTTTGTTTTTAGTGTTTTTGTTGACGACCTGGTAATCCTTGTTCAGCTGTTCTAGCACCTCCAGCGCCGCGGGGCTTGACGGTCTCACCACGCAGGAACAGAAGATCCTGCAGGGTCACATGAAATAGCCCGGCCAGCTGGAGCCTACCGAAGCCCCAGCTGGTTCCACAAGGAACAGCCCGGTCAGCTGGTGCCAATGGAGGCGCCAACCGGCTCCACACAGCACAGGCAGCCGCCGTGGCCGTCTCCCCGGTGGGCACCTCCTCTTCCGCCGATGCATCGAGTCGTCATTCACAGCTGAGCTGACCTAGGGGAGAGCCTGAGAGAGGTTCCCCGTGGTGCGTAACCGTCGCCGCCGAGGATGAACGTCGGTGAAGCGACACGACACCTATTATTGCGCGCGGTAAAACTGCAGGCGGGTGTGAATCCGACCAGAACAGGTACTCCGTAGTCCTACAACGGGGGATGTGGTGGCCAACCCTGCGAGCGGGCGACCGCAGGGGAGGGGCGGCCGCGCGGAGTCACTCACTTGTTGAGATTGCACAGCAGGCCGGGCTTGCTGACGTTGCGTAGGGGCAACACTCGCATCACCTGCACCAGGTTCATGAACACTCGGGGGACCTGGGGGAGGGAGTGGGGGAAGATACAACACCATCATCAATAAAAAAAATTAAGGTGAAAAAAAAACTCAGGTTCTTTAGTGATTATTTATTTCATTTCCCACTTACCTGACTCCATATTTTCGTTGCGGTCAGTTGCAGTTTCCTCTGCTCAGTGGGTGTAGAGCCGCTGAAATGATCACTGTTTATATTCTACCAGGACAGGCTCTGCCAGGAGAAGGCAGTACAGCAAAGTGTAGACTAACCTCCATCTGTTCCACACTCCCATCTACCCGTGAGTGTGAGTACAGCTACAAACTAAACTCTTTTTATCTTACCAAGTGTCAGGCCCCACTGAGCTGCGTAGCGCTTTTGCAGAAGCGACCACCTGGCCATCACAGATGATAGCTTGACGAAGTGGCTCATCATCATCGCGTGGAAATTTACATCAGTGGCCAAAAAAATGCGTGACGTTGATTCTAAACGTGGAGAAAAAAACCGGAGGACCCAGAGAAAATCCACACGACCACCGGGAGAGAGAGAGACACGCAAACTACAAATATACAGCGACCTACTGCATACCAGGCGAGGTAGTGAGGGTGCGTGGCCAGCTTCTTTCACCATTCCTGTTGCTGCGTGCCCCTTGTACCGGTTCCCATTCCGATGTAACGTGAACCGATGTCCACTTTATTGAGGGCGAAATTGGCAAGTAAAATAAAGATTCATCAATCGTCATCATCGCCCCCAACACGGGAGAACCCAACTCGGTTTAAATCCCGTCCACGTGGAGGTCTCTGACCTCTGGAATGGCCTCGTGACAACGTTTGGAATCGAAACTCTCACCACTCTCCTTGTCCTACCTTTCATCACCGACTACGCCGCTACATCACCATCATCAGCATCGCAGCAGCAGCATGTCGGACGTACAGAGATTTACTCTTTGGTTCTTTTGGTAAAGTCACGTATTAAGATAAAATAATAAATTAAATAATCGCATACGACGTTTAGATTGCAACACAAGCAAGCATCATCAGGTATAAAGGAAATAGCAACAAAAATCTAACCAGAAAACTATAGATAGACATATAAGCAGACAAATATCACAAAGATACACAGAGAGAGAACACACATCGGCACACAGAGAGAGAACGTCTCTGTGACGAGGCCTTAAATAGAGAGAGGGGGTGGGGGCGGAGAGAGGGAGGGGTTAGAAAAAAACTAGCATGTCAATGAGTAGGACGACGCGTGGTAATGTGCGCAAGCTTGAAAATTAGGAGAGCGGGAGAGAGACACACTAAATTAAATAACCTAGCAAAATATCGAAATGTAATGTAATGCAACACAGAGAGTCGGTCAACACACAATTAACGCATAGCCTGGTTGACTACGTATTTCAAAGATTGCAAAGTTAGAAGTTAAGTGTGAAATTTGAAAGACACAAACACGAAGATCGATACATAGGCAGAGAGAGAACAAAAAACCCAGAGAGAGAGAAAAAGATAAACTTAAAACTTCCCCGTAGAAGTGGTTCAATCTTAATTTGGAGCTTTCGTGACTGCAGGAATTACTCTTTGGTTCTTTCGGTAAAGTCACGTATAAAGATCTTCTTCTTCTTTAGTGCTGCCTAACGGCGTGTGCGACTTCACGATGATATTGGTCCCGGTCTAGCACGGCGTGTAGAGTTTGTGCTGTTGTTAATTGTAGCCATGTTTTGATGTTACTGAGCCATGTCGTTTTTGGCCGTCCTGGTCGTTTTTTCCCTTCGATTTTTCCTTCCAGGATTTGCTTTAATAGCTGGTATTTGTGGTCGTTACGGGCAATGTGGCCTAGGTAGTAACACTTCCTGCTAATGATGGTCTTCAGCAGTTGCCTGTCAGTGCCCATATCTTGCAGAACTTGTGTGTTGGTGGTTTTGGCTGTCCATGGGATTTTCAGCATCCTTCGATACAGCCACATCTCGAAAGCTTCGAGCCTTTTTGTTGCTGTTGTTGTCAATGTCCACGTCTCTACTCCGTACAGCAAAATTGACCAGATGTAGCATTTCAGTGTGCGCAGTTTCAGTGATGTACTCAAGTTGCGGTCTGCAAGGAGTGTTTTCCATTTAATAAATGCTTGCCTTGCTTGTTCAATTCTGCTCTTGATTTCGACTTCATGGTTCAACTGATCGTCAATGATTACACCAAGGTATTTAAATCGGTGTACTTGTTCCAATTTTTCGCTGCCAAGCTTGATTGTTATTTTGCTTGTAGTTCGGCTGACCTTCATAACCTTTGTTTTATTTTTATTAATTCGTAAGCCCCATATTTGACTCTCTGTGGCAACCTCGTCCAAGATTTGTTGTAGGTCTTGTTCCGAATCGGCCAGCAGTGCAGTGTCGTCGGCATACCTGATGTTGTTGATGTATTGTCCATTGACTTTAATACCAATGTTTTTATCTGCTAGTGTTCGATCAAAAATCTGCTCCGAGTAGATGTTGAAAAGACTGGGTGAAAGTGGGCAGCCTTGTCGTACACCTTTTTGTATTGGTGTTGGGTCTGTCAATTCGTTGTCATATCGGAGTTGGGCTGTTTGCTTCCAATAAAGAGCAATGATGAAGTTGATGTCGTTTTTATCTAGTCCCAGTTGTTTTAATAGAGCTGCTAGTCGGTCGTGGTCGACTGAGTCAAAGGCTTTCTCGTAATCTATGAAGCAGATGTACACTTCTTTCTGATGTTCGTAGCATCGCTGTAGTAGTATCTGTAGACAGAAGATTGCTTCTCTTGTGCCTAGTCCTTTGCAGAAGCCAAACTGTGTGTTCTTCAATGCATTTTCGCATGTGGAGCGTATGCGCTGTTGGATCACCTTCAGGAAGACTTTCAGCACGTGGCTCATCAAGCTTATCAGTCTGTAGTCCTCGCATTTCCGGCTTGTTGCTTTCTTTGGTATGGCCACAAAAATGGATTGTAGCCAGTCGGATGGAATTTTATTGCCATTGTATATTTGATTGTACCAATTAGTCAGTTGTCGTATGTTGTTACTGTCTAATAGTTTGAGCAATTCTACATGGATTGTGTCGGGCCCGCACGCTTTGCCTGACTTAGCTGTTTTGATTGCATGTTCTACTTCTGATGTTAAAATGTGTAGAGCGTCTTTCGACATCTGTTGGTCTTTTTCTGCAGGTGTTCTCGTGGCGCCATAGAGCTTGTGTATATAGTTTGTCCAGGTGTCCATTTTTTCTTGTTTATTTAGGATTGGTTGGTTGTTGTCCGCATACAAGGTAGCTGTTGGGGCTGGTCTGTAGATGTTACCAGCTTCTTTGAGCTTCTTGTGCAGAGTAAAATTGTCATGTTTTTTAATTAGTTCTTCCATCTCGGCGCATTGTTCTTCCATCCACTTTTCTTTTGCCTGTCGGATTGCTTCTCTGATCTTCTGTTGCATTTGTTTGTACTTCTCCAAGTTGTTGTTTTTGTATATTCTTCGTTGGCTCATTAGATCGAGAATACAATATGTCATCCATCGTTGTTTCTTTTTCGGTGGCTGATGTCCCAGCATGACTTCTGTTGTTTCTGTGATGCATTGTTTGAACGAGCGCCAGTACTCCTGAACATCTGCTGTTTCTGTTGTTATTGAGCGGATGCTATCGTTGAGATGTTGCTGTACTTGTCTTTTATCGGCGCTGTTCTTCAGTTTCTCCAGGTCTGCTCGTCTCGTCTTTGTACATTGTATTGATCGCAATTTGAGTCTTATTGTAGCTGTTACTGGGTTATGATCTCCAGGGTAGGTTTTTGCTGTAATCACACTGGACTTAAACCTGATGTTAATTAGGATATAATCGATTTGGTTCCTGACGATGTTGTTGTCGGAGTCTTGCGGCGAGGTCCACGTGTACAGTCGTCGAGGTGGTAATTGGAACCACGTGTTAGCAATACTGAAACGTTCTTCTTGGCAGAATTGAACCAGTCTGTCGCCTCGTTCATTCCTTGTTCCTAGTCCGTGTTCTCCGACAATGTTCTGCATTCGACCGTGGCCAACCTTGGCATTGAAATCGCCGAGGATTATAGTGATGTCTTGCTTCTTCAGCGGCTTCAGCGTGTTGGTTAGTTGCTCATAGAACGATTCGATTTCATGATCTTGTTTATCTGCTGTTGGAGCATAAACCTGTAGAATGTTCACGTTGACTTTGTTGCCTGCTAATTGTAGTAGTGCTATTCGTTCTGATACTGGGGTAAAGTTGTTGACTTTATTCGCTAATTTCTTGTGTACTATAAAGGCGACACCGTATGTTTGTTTGGTGTTTTCTTCTCCTCCGGAGCAGAAGATGTGGTGTTCGCTCGATATAAACTTTTTTGTTCCAGGCCATTTAGTTTCGCTTAGACCGATTATGTTGATTTTAAGTCGATCCATTTCTTGTATGACATTGGCTAGTTTTCCTGCTTGAAGTAAACTTCTAACGTTCCAAGTTGCTACTTTGAAAGGGTTCTTTGACACAAGCTCGGAGATTCTTAGCACCCCTGTCCTATTTAAAGGACGCCGATACTCAGGGCCTTTGTTGATTTTGCTTGTCATCATTGAAGTTTTCAAGGGAGAAATAATCCAAGCAGTTTCCCGTTGCTTTCTTGGATCACCATTTATTTGAAAAGGTCATGTGGGGACCTTTCGAAACGGGTTTTGTCTGACGTCTCCACTGAAGTCTTCCCGCCTTGGGTGACCCTTCTGAGAGCACTAGGCTCTCGACGGTATAGCGATCAGCTTCTCAGACGTACACAAACTCTCTCGCCGCGCTAAGGCACCGTTTCTCGAGAGAGCGTATAAAGATAAAATAATAAATTAAATAATAGCATACGACGTTTCGATTGCAACACAAGCAATCGTCATTGCTTGTGTTGCAATCAAATTTCACACTTAACTTCTAACTTAGCCATCTTTGAAATACGTACTCAACCAGGCTATGCGTTAATTGTGTGTTGACCGACTCTCTGTGTTGCATTACATTACATTTCGATATTTTGCTAGGTTATTTAATTTAGTGTGTCTCTCTCCCGCTCTCCTAATTTTCAAGCTTGCGTACCTTACCACGGGTCGTCCTACTCATTGACATGCTAATTTTTTCTCTAACCCCTCCCTCTCTCCGCCCCCACCCCCTCTCTCTATTTAAGGCCTCGTCACAGAGACGTTCTCTCTCTATGTATCTTTGTGATATCTGTCTGCTTATATGTCTGTCTATAGTTTTCTGGTTAGATTTTTGTTGCTATTTCTTTTATACCTGATGATGATTGCTTGTGTTGCAATCGAAACGTCGTATGCTATTATTTAATTAATTATTTTATCTTAATACGTGACTTTACCGAAAGAACCAAAGAGTAATTCCTGCAGTCACGAAAGCTCCAAATTAAGATTGTACAGAGATTTAGCCAATGGCGGTCGGTCTAAACCACACCAGGGCCACACGCTCAGCTCTGGAGCTGGTGGTGTGGGCAAGGCTGGGAGCGTGACCCACGTGCTGCTTGATGTAGTCGATGGTGGCGGTAATGTTGCCCACGTAGTCCTCCTGTGAGTGACCCTGGGCACACGGGGACAAAAAGACACGGGCTTACCCGGACACGCCAGCAACATGTCAACGTCACTCCAACACCACCACCACCACCACCGTCACGCCAACACCACCACATTCACCGTCACGCCAACACCACCCTCGTGACGCCAGCACCACCACCACCGTCATGCCAACACAAAAGACAAAGATCCCTTAACAGACTCTTGTCTGTATGCTGAACTTCTTTCACACCGTATGCAGCCAACCGTGCTAATCCCACTAACCACTCCCTAACACCACCACCACCGTCAGTCATATCGTCACCACAAACACCACCACACCACCCACACCTCCTCTAACACTCCCATAGTGGGGAGTGGTGGCGCAGCGGCTAAAGTACTGCGCTACTAAACTGACATCAACAGTGGCGATTATCTGAATTATTCCTGGGCCTCCCCTCGGTCGACAGCCTCAAATGAAAATCCGGTGCTATGTGTGAACATCGCCACTGGGCCACCCACCCCCTTGTGTGCTGTGCCGGCCATCATAGGTGCTGCTCGCTCACTGCACTTTCCCCGCAAAGGTCTCTTAAGGCTACGCGGGGGATCTTTGTCTTTGTCTAACATTCCCACCAGCGTTCCCCATTGGGTAGAAGTCGGAACTTACCCCCTTGCAGGAGTCACACAGATCGTTGCCACCGATGAAGAGCGTGAGCAGCTTCCAGTCATTCTGAAAATCAACTCGCTGGGCGGGGGTCACGGGAGGTCACGGAAGATCCCAAGTCAAAGGGGGCAGGAGTCACGGGAGGTCACAGGTCAGAGGGTGCAGGGGTCGCTGAAAGTCAGAGGTCAGAGGCACAGTAGACACGTGTGAACTCAGCTGAGCAAATCCAAGGGTTTCACTCAGCTAGCAACGACAACAAGAAGACAAAACGAGCGCTAAAAGGATTCGGCCCTCCCCCCCCCCTCTTGGTGACGGTATCACACGTGATGACATCACGTGTGGTGACGTCATCTCGGGTGGTGACGTCATCTCGGGTGGGGACGTCCGACTCAGCACCGAATGGGAAGTCAAAGGCCACGCGGGAGGGCAGGTGGCGCGTGTGGCACAGGTTGGCGCCGGCTATTGTAGAGTTGCGGTCGTGCCGCTGCGGTTCTCTGCGGCAAGTACAGTACAAACACTGCAGCGTGCTTGCAGCGGTCCGAGATTGAGCGGTGGACGCCCGGCGCCCTGTACTTTGCAGACGTCTCGGCAACGGGAAAGGGTTAAAACAAATAGAATCACCGGTGTCGTCGTTGATAAATCACGAAGTCAACGAGAGATGTCTCCTCCGCGTGGAGTCCGTCTCCTCCGCGTCAAAGACACACATTTATTTTGGATGTATTCCCATCAGCCTCCATGGCCACCAGGGAGTACACCCTGGTTCAGCAGCAGTGATTCGACACGGGCAAAACTCTGCACCAGTTTAGACATCGCGTCTCGCTGGCAAGATTGCTTTGATCAATTCGTCGACCTACTCGGTAGTCGACCCACTCGTTAGTCCATTTGTTAGTCGATCCATCCGATCATTAGTCGATCCACTTGTTAGTCCACTTGTTAGTCGATCCGATCATTAGTCGATCCGCTCGTTAGTCCGCTTGTTAGTCCACTTATTAGTCGACCCGCTCATTAGTCCGCTTGTTATTCAACACGCTCGTTAATGGACCCGCTGGTAGACAGGGAGCTCACCGTGTCGTTCCGCAGGAGATCCGTGAGCAGCATCGCCTGGGGAAGGAGGTCTCTGATTGAGGAGAAAAAGTTAACTCGTCAACTCATTAACTCGTCAACTCATTAACTCGTCAACTCATTAACTAGTCAACCCAGTGAGAGTCATGAAACTTAAGGGTTAACTCACTAACTTATGAACTCGTTAAATCAACTTAAGGGATGTGTGTCCTGCATGTCGACTATGCGTTTGTGCTGTGTGTGTGTGCACTGTGTGTGTGCGTACGCTGTGTGTGTACACTGTGTGTGCGTACACTATGTGTGTGGACTGTGTGTGTATTGTGGGTATTCCGCGTTCATGTGTACTGGGTGTGGACTCTGCGTGTTGTGTGTGTGCATGTACTCTGTGCTCATGTACTCTGTGCGCATGTGTACTACACGTGTGTACTGTGTGTACTGCGAGTGTGAACTGCACTGTGTGTACTGCACTGTGTGTACTTACCATCAGCCCCACCAAAACTAAGCACCTGCCTGGGTATTTTGTACCATCGGATACTCCACCCCCACAACTCCCAATCGGTGATGGGGCAGTGTGCTTATGACCGGCTCCAATTTAACAGCAGAGGTCTCACTCCGAATCAGTTGAGCGGCAATATATTTTCATCAGTTGCGTAACGCTGTGTGGAAGCTGCCTGGTCTGTCGCTCCGCACGAAGCTTCGGGTCTTCTCGGCCACAGTCATTCCCTCCCTTCTCTACGCTTGCGAAACGTGGACCCCCCTAATGGAGCATCTTCGCCGGTTAGAAACATTTAGGCTGGCCTGCCTACGATCCATCGTGGGTTTAACCAGGCTGGATTGTGTGAGGAGCTCACAAATCCTTGAAAGATCTGGGCAAAGTCCCATCGGTGAGCTCCTCCGGCAGGCAAGGCTACGTTGGCTGGGTCATGTAGCCCGCATGCCCAGCCACCGCATGCCTAAACAGCTTTTGTTCGGCCGGATCGAGGGGGCTAAACGGGCGCGGCACGGGCTAGAGAAGAGATGGAGTGATGTGGTACAGGAGGACGTGGAGCTGAGTGGACTTGCCGATGACTGGTACCAGCGGTGTCAAGATCGGCCTCTGGAGGAGGCTCGTGAAGGACGCTACTGGGCAGTTGGAGGCAGTCGCCCTCCAACAACAACGGAGGGTGGAGGAGCGACGCTCACAACAACGAGCGGAGCGCCGGGTGGCTAAAGCACAGCAAGTTGGCACAGTAGGGGGCACAGGTGGTGCATCAGCCAGTCATCTCGGTCATCTCGGTCAGTCGACCCGTGGTACCTAGGTCTGCCCCGTGACCTCCTGCCAGCGGGCGTTCGACACTTCACGTGGCCTCAAGGTGCACATGGCCTGGCACAAGCGTCGTGGGGACGTCACCGCCACTTAGTGGCGAATGGCGGTTGTTTTTGTTGTTGTACTGCACTGTGTGTACTGCACTGTGTGTACTAAGTGGGTGCACTGTGTGTACTGCACTGTGTGTACTGCATGGGTGAGCCGCGTACTGCGCCGTGCTGCCGGTCACGGCGACGTTGAATCCGGCGGCGTCTCTGTCAATGGGGTTGTCGCGCCACTTGGTGCTGTTCTGGGAGGGCCCCACTAGGGCCGCCGCACCCACAGCACGCACAATATCTAGACGGGGGGGGGGTGGCAGGGAGAGGTCATTGTTAACTAGGGGGGTAGGGGACAGGTAGAGGTCACGGTCAACCAGGGGGGAGGGGACAGGCAGAGGTCACGGTCAACCAGGGGGGGATGGGACAGGCAGGGGTCACGGTCAACTAGGAGGGGAGGGGACAGGCAGAGGTCACGGTCAACTAGGAGGGGAGGGGACAGGCAGAGGTCACGGTTAACTAGGGGGGGAGGGGACAGGCAGAGGTCACGGTCAACTAGGAGGGGAGGGGACAGGCAGAGGTCACGGTTAACTAGGGGGGGAGGGGACAGGCAGGGGTCACGGTCATCCAGGGGGGGGAAGGGAGTTAGAGCTCACGGTCACAAACATGTTTTTCGATGTATTTCTTTGAGTCTCTGTTGGTCTCTATGTGTCTACCTATCTCTATGAGTCTCTGTGGATATCTATGAGTATGTATGTATATACGAATATGCATCTGTATGTATCTCCATGTATCTGTGTAGTGTCTTCAAAAATTACTCACACCGACACGTTGTAACAAGCAACTCTACATCTCCACCGCTGCCCTCACTTACGCTCCCTCAGACCCGCTCACCCATCTGTCTCGGGCGGGGGGATCAGCCAACACCCGCCCGGCGACGACGTGAGGGTTGAGGTCCCATTGACGGCTGAAGCGGCAGCGGTGAGATGCACTCTTCGTCCCCGGCAACAGCCCTTATATCCCTCTGCTATTTATCCGAGACCTCTCGCGCGTCTCTTTAAGCTCTCTCCCGTCTCCCTGGCAACACTTCCGGTCTCAAGGTGCACAACCGGTCGACCCCGTTTGCACCCGCTTCGCCGATTAACAACTGGGGGTTTGTCCGTGCAAATCTCACGTTGCACACGCGCACCTGTCTGCCCTCAGTTGCCCTCGGTTAACTGTGCGCCCCGCGTATTTCACTCCTCTACATCTGTATGGGTCTCCATGTATCTGTGTAGTGCCGTAGATGGGCCACGCTTACCGGCAGTGGTAGACGTGGTCCATCTGCAAGGGTGCCCCATACTGCCAAGGGGGGGGGGGGGTGGCAGGGGATCTATGATCCCACACAACGCCACCCCTCGATGGGGACCCCAGACAGCTAATCCCCTCGGCGCCACCAATGGGGGGGGGGGGGGGGGCTGCAGGGGATCTACGATCCCACGCAACGCCACTCCTCGATGGGCAAAGGGGCATAAAAGGGGACCTCCCCAGTCGGTCGAGACCAGTCAAAGCTCAAGACCAGCCAGCATAGGACCCTGGACCCCCGCGCCCCGCTTGTCCTTGTAAGGGCCGGGACGCTGTGCGGGCCAGTGGTGGGACTCTGGGAATCCCGGCTCTACGTCCTTGTAAGGGCGAGTTCCGTGGAAGCCGGAGTCTAGACCCGCACCTTGGCTGGGTCGGGTCAGGTAGCCTCCCCTAGGGTAATTGAAGCTGGAGGACCCGAGAACGTAGCCAGTGTCAGGCACGCTAGGAGTAGGCTATGTCCCTAGGCTGTGTCCCTAGGCTGTGTCCCTAGGCTGTGTCCCTAGGCTGTGTCCCTAGGCTGTGCCCCTAGGCTGTAACAGAGTATCATGAGTGTTGGAGTGTTGTATCGTAATAAAAAAGTTACCTCTACAAGTGTCTCCATATCCATTACATCTGTATGGGTCTCCATTAGTCTCTATGTGTCTCTACGTATCTGTATGGGTCTCAATGTATCTGTATGGGTTTCCATTAGTCTCTGTGTCTCTACGTATCTAGATTTGAAGCTTTCGTGACTGCAATGATTCATATTCTTAGGTTTTTTCGGTAAAGTCACGTAGGTAAAAACATTAAAAAGTAAAATAAAAAAAAAATCACGACGTTTCGGAGGCAACACAAGCTTCCGTCTTCAGGTGGTACCGTCACAGCCACGACAGCTGTATCAAGTAAATGAGAGATTGCAGGAGCTACCACTCCGTTTATATAATGGTTGGAGAAGGTGGTGGGGCAAGGGCCGCATACTTTTTATTAATATGGTAAGGTGAGGCTTAAGACTAAGAATGCGGTTTGTGACTCAACCTGTAACAGGGAGACCACCACTAAACATGGTAAAACTGTGTTTATTGTCTGTCAAATAAGATTGGCAAATAAGTGTAGTTAAATCTTTTTTGCATGGTTAATCACATCTTTCCAATGATTACTCAGTTTGTAACCGTCATCACGGTTGAAATTATGTCTGTGTTTGTATATTTGTATGGCTTCGTGTACAAACCTTTGATGGTAGCCAGGAGGTTTGCAGAGAAAGCTAGCCTATCACTAATCTCGGAGAGAATAAGGTTACTCCGATCTGAACTCGATAATTTAGACAAGACTCTCTTACAAACACATTTAATGTTAACACAAAAATGTCACCTGATTGGAACCACGTTGATTACATGACTTCTGCTTCTGCTGACTCAATGTCAGCCAAATGCAAAGCTAACCTGATTTCTAAATTCAACCTCCTATCTAAGAAGAAACCAGAGCCACACATCGCAAAGCTGGATGTTAACAAGACCGTGATTAATCAGAGTAACATCCCAATTTCTGACAATCTATAAACGGTACTGGCCAAAGGACTAAATTTCGCCATCACCCCTAAATATATACCAGTAGAGGATATGATTTCTCAGATTGATGTAGCCCTCAGAGTCATGGGACACATCCATGCGGATGTAGCAAGAGCTGAAATAGCTACTATTCTTAAGAATGCTAAGAAACCCACTAGTAACATCAGCAAAAACGAACGCTCTGAACTCGCGGACCTAAAAAAGAGAGATGATATAGTCATCTTCTCAGCAGACAAGGGCAATGCCACGGTCATCATGGATAAAGATTCATACAACAACAAAATCCTGGACCTTAATGATGGGAGTTACTCCAAAATTAAAAACGATCCCACTAAAAACCTAACGACAAAAACCAACAGTATCATCACGAGTTCGACTTCCCTAATCGAACCAAGCAAACGTCCCTCTCTAAAACCATCGGCGGCTAGACCTCCCAGACTCTATGGTCTTCCCAAAATCCATAAAGAAGGCACCCCGCTATGACCCATCGTGTCGACGATAAACTCTCCTACGTACAAACTAGCCCGTTTTCTATCAGATACTCTGCTCCCCTTCACAGGCAAGACCTCTTCGGCAGTACTCAACTCAACCCAATTAGTCTCTATGGTTAAGGACATGGTATTATCTCCTGATGACATCCTCGTCAGCTTTGATGTAGTATCTTTGTTCACCAAAGTCCCAGTACCGGACACCCTAACAATAATTGAGGACTTAGTCCAACATGGATTGAATTCTGATGTACCTGCGCTGGTTAGGCATTGCCTCACCAACACTTATTTTACCTGGAATGGCACCTTCTACAAACAGAATGAGGGTACCCCTATGGGCTCCCCCTTGTCACCAGTTATAGCCAACATGTTCATGGAAAAGTTTGAATCAGACGCCATCCAGACATCCACCCTGCGTCCTTCCTTATGAAAGAGGTATGTGGACGACACTTTCGTCATCTGGCCACATGGCCTCCCAGCATTGAACCACTTCTTGGACCACATCAATTCTAGACACCCATCCATCAGATTCACTATGGAAGTGGAGAAAGACGGTAAACTACCATTCTTGGATATTCTGTTTGAGAGGAGGCCTGACGGATCCTTGGGACATTCTGTCTACAGGAAAGCCACCCACACATATTCCTACTTGAAACCGGATTCCCACCACCACCCATCTCAAAAGAATTATCTCATCAAAACGCTATACCACAGAGCCCATGGCATTTCTGACCAACACCACCTGGCCGGTGAATTAAGACATGTACATCGGGCCCTCAGGATGAACGGATACTCTGACCGCACAATCCGCCAAGCTGTTTCTCCCACCGTACAGAAACAGCCACATGAAACTCCGACCAAAACTATCACGTTGCCATACATAGCAGGCGTGACCAAAAATATCTCCAAAATTCTAAACAAACATAAGATCAAGTCCGATTCAGTACAGTGCATAAAATCCGTGATTTGATCCCATCTGTGAAGGATGTCGTTCCTGACTTACAGTATCCTGGAGTCTACAAATTGAGTTGCATTTGTGGTGATAGCTACATTGGAGAAACGAAACGTCATGTTTCTGATCGTGTCCGCGAGCACAAGTCAGATCTGAAACACGACAGAACTGATTCTTCGGCCGTTGCCGATCATTGCTACAACTCGGTGGGCTCTCATGAAATTGTATTTTCCGAGACCAAGGTTCTCTGCAAACCTCCTGGCTACCATCAAAGGTTTGTACACGAAGCCATACAAATATACAAACACAGACATAATTTCAACCGTTACAAACTGAGTAATCATTGGAAAGATGTGATTAACCATGCAAAAAAGATTTAACTACACTTATTTGCCAATCTTATTTGACAGACAACCATCACAGTTTTACCATGTTTAGTGGTGGTCTCCCTGTTACAGGTTGAGTCACAAACCGCACCTCTCCATAACAAAGGCTCAACAAAGGCTCAGCCTTTGTTATGCAGTCTATTCTTAGTCTTAAGCCTCACCTTACCATATTAATAAAAAGTATGCGGCCCTTGCCCCACCACCTTCTCCAACCATTATATAAACGGAGTGGTAGCTCCTGCAATCTCTCATTTACTTGATACAGCTGTCGTGGCTGTGACGGTACCACCTGAAGATGGAAGCTTGTGTTGCCTCCGAAACGTCGTGATTTTTTATTTTATTTTACTTTTTAATGTTTTTACCTACGTGACTTTACCGAAAAAACTTAAGAATATCTCTACGTATCTGTATGGGTCTCCATGTATCTGTATGGGTCTCTACTGGTTTACCGCACGCTCCATAGTTTGGCTTGCGTGGCCACACTCGCAATGCTGTGTGGCTCGTCTTTTATTTAGTTTTGAGTCCACGGAAACTTGGCACAGCAGACAAGCAAGTAGCAATCGGGAACAGAAGCAGGACAACAACAAACAACAACAACTGAGTAGAAATCAGAGCTGAAGCGAGAGCGTATGAGGCGAGTGGGCAGCAGCGAGGAGGAACTCACTCGGAAGGGTGATGGCCGTCTCAAAGGTCTCCCATCCGCCGATGCTGCAAGACAAAGAGCACGTGGGTGGAGACGCGTTGGGCGCAAGCCCAGCCACCGCATAACCCCAACCACATTTTGTTTGGCCGGATATAAATTTAAAACGAATAAACTATGATTGTATTTGATAATAGGTTTTTCCCCTTTTTTTCTGGCAACAAAACAGGTGTTAAGATGTTAAACACCAAACTGAAACCTTTCACAAGGAATCGTGTCTGCATTAACCACACCGACACGTTGTAACATCTCAGTCAGTCAACCCACGGCACCTGCAGGGTCTGCCAGCAGCGAGCCTTCGACACTTCACGCAGGCCTCAAGATGCACCTAGCTTGGCACAAGCGCCGCGAACTGCGGCTGTTGTTGGTGGTCTGCTCACCTGAACGCACGCTCCCTGTGCTCCTTCAGCAGAGTCAGCACCCCCGTGCCCTGCATCCCAAACCCCGCCTGCACACGCACACCAACACCTCGTCATCGCCACCTCGTCGCTCACCTCGCCATTCAATCACTCACCTCGTCACTCGCATAGTAGTTTGGCGAGCATGTCCCGATGAAGTGGGTGCCGTGTGTGCGGCGTGATGATGTGGACGGTGGCTGCGATAATGATTATGATGATGTGTGTGGGTGTGATGTTTCGTGGTGATGTATGGTGATGATATGTGTGGATGTAATGATGTGTGATGATGTATGGTGATGATGTGTGTGGGTGTGATGTTTTGTGGTGATGTATGGTGATGATGTGTGTGGATGTGATGTCAAATTTTCCCCTCCCTCGACTGTCCATAAGTGATGGGGCAGTTGTGGAGAGAGTGGAGAGTTTCCCGTACCTGGGCAGTGTGATTATGACCAGCTCCGGTTTGATAGCTGAGGTCTCACTCCAAATCAGTCGTGCGGCATTATCGTTTCATCGGCTGCGTAACGCTGTGTGGAAGCTATCTGGTCTGTCGCTCCATACTAAGCTCCTGGTTGTCTCGGCCACAGTTATACCCTCCATTCTCTCTGCTTGCGAAACGTGAAACATCTGCGCTGGTGTGAAACAATCAGGCTGGCCTGCCTACGATCCATCCTGGATCCAGACTGGAATGTGTGAGGAGTTCACAAATCCTTGAAAGATCTGGACACAGTCCCATCAATGAGCTCCTCCGGCAAGCGAGGCTGCGTGGCTGGGTCATTTAGCCCTCAAGCCCAGCCACCGCATGCCCAAGCAGATTCTCTTTGGCCGCATAGAGGGGGTTAAATGGGCGCAGTACGGGCTGGAGAAGAAATGGAGCTGAGTGGACTTGCCGATGACTGGTACCAGCAGTGTCAAGATCGGCCTATATGGAGGAGGCTCGTGAAGGACGCTGCTGGGTAGTTGGAGGAAGTCGCCCTCCAACAACAACGGAGGGCGGAGGAGCGACGCTCACAACAATGAGCGGAGCACCGAGTGGCTAAAGCACAGCAAGTTGGCACGGTAGGGGGCACAGGTGGTGCATCCGCCAGTCAACTCAGTCAGCCAAACCATGGCACCTGGGTCTGTCCTATGACCGCCTGTCAGCGAGCACTCGACAACTCATGTGGCCTCAAAGTGCACCTAGCCTGGCAGAAGCACCGTGGTGACGTCACCACCACTTCATGGTGAATGGCGGTTGTTGATGTGGTGATGTGTGTGGATGTGATGATTATGTGTGTGAAAATGATGATGATGTGATGATGATGTGTGTGGATATAATGATGATGTGTGTGGATGTGATGATGACGTGATGGTGATGTGTGTGGATGTGATGATGATGTGTGTGGATGTGATGATGTGATGATGTGTGTGGATGGGATGATGTGATTATGATGTGCTGATGTGATAATGATGTGATGATGATTTGATGATGTGATGATGATGTGATGATGACGATTTGATGATGATGTGATGATGTGTGTGGATGTGATTCGTTACCGTGAGAGAGTCGCCCAGAGCTGCGACGACTTTAATGTCGGACGGCCTGAGGCTGTGAACTGTAACAAAGACAAAGATCATACTCTTTGGTTGTTTCGGTAAAGTCACGTCGGTATAAAATAAAATAAATCACGACGTTTCGGGCGCAACACAAGCGTCCGTCATCAGGTGGGAAAGCATGGTCTGCTGCTGAGGCAGACTGTTTTAAAATGTTTGAAATGGGTTGTAGCCCAAGGGTCCTAAAGAAGTGGCCGCGGCGAGTGATGTTGTTAATGTGAGAAATTAGCATGATGTTAATGTGAGGGATTAGCATGTAACTGTAGAAAAGGAGGAGAGCGGCCTCCTCGACGAGGGCACGGAAGTGGCTATGTTAATGTGAGAGATTAGCATGATGTTAATGTGGGAGATTAGCTTGCAATATAATAGCTGACATAGGCAGTTAAGACTTTACCTGGTTAATTACGTACTTTCAATGATTGTCAGTTTGTACCCATCCTCTCGGTTGAAGTTGTGTCTGTGTTTATATATCTGGATGGCTTCATGAACAAATCTCTGAAGGTAGTCGGTAAGTTTGCAGAGTACATCTGTCTTGGAAAATCTATTTCGTGTGAGCCCACAGCGTTCAAACAATGATCGGCAACGGCAGAGGTATTGGTCCTACCGTGTTTCAGATCTGCCTTGTGTTCACGAACGCGGTCCGAGACAAAGATCCCCCATGTAACCCACGCAGGCTGTTGGAGCAAGTGGTGTTAGCGAGCACCTATGGTGTGTGAGTCTATGAGTCTCTGTGTGAGTCTATGGACCTCTGTCTGAGGCCTGGGTTCTGGGTGGTTATTCGTGCTTTCGAAGTCCCTGACTCTATGCTCACGATCATTAAGTACCTTCATGATGGTGAGTGGGCCCAGGTAAAACTACGTGACCGGGAGTTGAAGCCATTCCCTTGTCACCTTGGAGTGCGACATGGATGTCCTCTGGCTCCCAGATTATTTAACATCGATTTCGCTAATGTAGTTCGTGAAGCCGTCAATGACTGTACCAGAGGAATTTCTATCTGGTACAGATGCAATGGAAGGCTGATCAATGCCCGGGTGTGGTCAAGGGATGGCTCCCTATTGGTCAAAAATGTTACATATGCCGATGATCTGGGAATTGCTGCTGACTCAGACGAGGAGTCGGAGCTGCTGAAGCTGGAGCGTGCCACTAAGAGGTGGGGCCTTACCATCAGCCCCACAAAAACTAAGCACATGCCTGGGTATTTTGCACCATCAGACACTCCATCTCCGCAACTCCCTATTGGTGATGGGGCAGTAGTGGAGAGAGTGGAGAGTCCCATATCTGGGCAGTGTGCTCATGACCGGCTCTGGTTTGACAGCAGAGGTCTCACTCCGAATAAGTCGAGCAGCATTATATTTTCATCAGTTGCGTAACGTTGTGTGGAAGCTACCTGGTCTGTCGTTCCACATGAAGTTTCAGGTCTTCTCGGCCACAGTCATGCCCTCCCTTCTCTTCGCCGGTTAGAAACATTTAGGCTGGCCTGCCTACGATCCATCCTGGGTTTAACCAGGCTGGATTGTGTGAGGAGCTCACAAATCCTTGAAAGATCTGGACAAAATTCCATCGGTGAGCTCCTCTGGCAGGCAAGAATGCGTTGGCTGGGTCATGTAGCCCGCATAGCCAGCCATCGGATGCTTAAACAGCTTTTGTTCGGCCAGATAGAGGGGGCTAAATGAGTGCGGCACGGGCTAGAGATGAGATGGCGTGATGTAGTACAGGAGGACGTGGAGCTGAGTAGACTTGCCGATAACTGGTACCAGTGGTGTTAAGATCGGCTTCTGTGGAGGAGGCTCGTGAAGGACGCTGCTATTGGCAAGTTGGAGGGAGTCGACCTCCAGCAACAACGGAGGGCAGGGGAGTGACGCTCACAACAATGAGCGGAGCGCCGGGTGGCTAAAGCACGACAAGTTGGCACAGTAGGGGGTACAAGTGGTGCATCGGCTAATCATCTCAGTCAGTCGACCCGTGGCATCAGGGTCTGCCCCGTGACGTCCTGCCAGTGGGCGTTCGACACTTCACGTGGCCTCAACGTGCACATAGGCAGGCACAAGCGCCGTGGTGACGTCACCACCACTTAGTGGCGAATGGCGGTTGTTCTTGTTGTGTGACTCTATGGGCCTTTGTGTGAGTCTACGGGTCTCTGTGTGAGTTTATTGGTCCCTGTGTGAGTCTATGGGTCTCTGTGTGAGTATATGGGTCTCTGTGTGGGTTTTTGGGTCTCAGTGTGAGTCTATGGGTCTCTGTGTGGGTCTTTGGGTCTCAGTGTGAGTCTATGGGTCTCTGTGTGAGTCTATGGGTCTCTGTGTGAGTCTATGGGTCTCTGTGTGGGTCTTTGGGTCTCAGTGTGAGTCTACGGGTCTCTATGCTCAACGTCTACAACCCCTAAATGTCTCTTCGGTCCCATGGGGGCACCTGATGTGGGACGGGAAGCGGAGGGCGCCAGCGCTCGACACGGGAACACGTTCTTGGGCGACTCATCTCTGGGGTCAGGAACCAGGTCCTCCTCCTGGGTCACGGGGTCACACACACAAGGGTCCCGTTGTCACACACAAGGTTCACGGAATCACAGCGGGTCACACAGGGGTTACGCAAGGTCAGACACACAAGGGTCAGGGTGTCACACAAAAGGGTTATGGGGCCACAACGGGTCACGCAGGGTCACACACGGGTCACGGTGTCACGGTGGGTCACACCGAGGGGTCATGCAGGGTCACAGGAGTCCCAAGGGGTGACCCAGGAGGCAGTGGTGAGGCGGACAATGTGAGTTAGGGGTAAAGGAAGTGGCGAGAAGCTCTACGTAGTGGTGAGGAGTGGCGAGGAGTGGAGAGAAGTGGTGAGGAGTAGTGAGGAGTGGAGAGAAGTGGTGAGGAGTAGTGAGGAGTGGAGAGAAGTGGTGAAGAGTAGTGAGGAGTGGTGAGGAGTGGTGAGGAGTAGTGAGGAGTGGTGAGGAGTAGTGAGGAGTGGTGAGGAGTGGTGAGGATCTCACCAGCCCCAGCTGTGAGAGTCTCAGGATTTCATTAAATGCCTCTTGGTAGGAGCGCGACTCCGCACTGACACCTGCGGGGTCACAGTGGGGTCACGGTAGGGTGACAAGGGTCACAGTGGGGTCACGGTAGGGTGACAAGGGTCACAGTGGGGTCACGGTAGGGTGACAAGGGTCACAGTGGGGTCACGGTAGGGTGACAAGGGTCACAGTGGGGTTACGGTGAGATGACAGGGGTGTGTGTCCGCATGTGTATGTGTGTGGGGAGCGGTGGCGCAGCGGTTAGGGATAATTTGAACCGGTTCTTGGCCTCTCATAGATCGACTCGACTTGAAATAAGTAATCGGTGTGGTTTGTAAACATCGGCACTGGGAAGACAAAGGCGGCCGGGCGTGGTGCTGGCCACCCATCAACTCGTGTGCTGCGCCGGCTTTCATAGGTGCTCACTAACAGCACCTGCCCCAACAGTTCGTTGAAGGCTACACAGGTGGTCTTTGTCTTGTGGTACCCGATTGTGTCTGTGGGTGTCTCTAAACATCTACATGACAAGTGCTTTCTGACTGTTATAACCATCACTCGCTGCAGGGGTGCGCTCAGCCTTCATGGGGGACTCATTGGGGGGCTGAATGCTCCACAGGTGTTTATCTCCACCGTTTCCAATGTGCGCGTGTTGTGAGCCCGGAGGAAACCCACGCAGAGCAGGGAGAGGTAATACAACTCCACGCACACTCACAAAGACAAAGATCCCCCGTATAGCCTGAACAGACTGTTGGGGGCAAGTGCTGTTAGTGAGCAGCGCCGTTGAAGGCGGGCACGGCACACACGCTCACTCACACTGCAGGGCAGGGGGAGAACATTCAAACTACACGCGGAAAGGCGCTCTAGTCGGGTATTGAACCCAGGGGCGAGTGTCTCTACTGCGCCACCACCGCCACCCGGCAGTCGAGCCCGAGGTGAAAAGTTTCCCGGCAGCGACTCTCACAGCTCTCACTCAGGGTCAGGGCTATAGGCTGGGGTCAGGGCTATGGGTTGGGGTCAGGGCTATGGGTTGGGGTCAGGGCTTTGGGTTGGGGTCAGGGCTATGGGTTGGGGTCAGGGCTATGGTTGGGGTCAGGGCTATGGGTTGGGGTCAGGGCTATGGGTTGGGGTCAGGGCTATGGGTTGGGGTCAGGGCTTTGGGTTGGGGTCAGGGCTATGGGTTGGGGTCAGGGCTATGGGTTGGGGTCAGGGCTTTGGGTTGGGGTCAGGGCTATGGGCTGGGGTCAGGGCTATGGGTTGGGGTCAGGGCTTTGGGTTGGGGTCAGGGCTTTGGGTTGGGGTCAGGGCTTTGGGTTGGGGTCAGGGCTATGGGTTGGGGTCAGGGCTATGGGCTGGGGTCAGGGTTTTGGGTTGGGGTCAGGGCTTTGGGTTGGGGTCAGGGCTTTGGGTTGGGGTCACGGCTATGGGCTGGGGTCAGGGCTATGGGTTGGGATCAGGGCTATGGGTTGGGGTCAGGGTTTTGGGTTGGGGTCAGGGCTATGGGCTGGGGTCAGGACTATGGGTCGGGGTAAGGGCTATGGGTTGGGATCAGGGTTTTGGGTTGGGGTCAGGGCTATGGGTTTGGTCAGGGCTTTGGGTTGGGGTCAGGGCTATGGGTTTGGTCAGGGCTTTGGGTTGGGGTCAGGGCTATGGATTGGAGTCAGGGCTATGGGCTGGGGTCAAGGCTATGGGCTGGGGTCAGGGCTATGGGTTGGGGTCAGAGTTTTGGGTTGGGGTCAGGACTATGGATTTTGGTCAGGGCTATGGGTTGGGGTCAGGGCTTTGAGTTGGGGTCAGGGCTATATATTGGGGTCAAGGCTTTGGGTTGGGGTCAGGGTTTTGGGTTGGGGTCAGGGCTTTGGGTTATGGTCAGGGCTATGGGTTGGGGTCAGGGCTATGGGTTGGGGTCAGAGTTTTGGGTTGGGGTCAGGACTACAGTTTGGGGTCAGAGCTATGTGCTGGGGTCAGGGCTATGGGTTGGGGTCAGGGCTATGGGTTGGGGTCAGGGCTATGGGTTGGGGTCAGGGCTATGGGTTGGGTCAGAGCTTTGGGTTGGGTCAGGGCTTTGTGTTGGGTCAGGGCTTTGGGCTGGGGTCAGGGCTATGGATTGGAGTCAGGGCTATGGGCTGGGTCAGGGCTATGGGCTGGGGTCAGGGATTTGGGTTGGGGTCAGGGCTATGGGCTGGGGTCAGGGTTATGCATTAATGATGCAGCTATGGGGCAGGGCTGCGTGAGGGCTATGACTGCGGGTTCAGTCTTACGACTCCGGGCTGCGTGCTCGTGAACTCTGTCTGGGATCTAGGCTGTGGGTGAGCGTCAGGGCTATTCGTTAGAGGTGAGTGCGAGTGGTAGGGGTGAGTATTAGCGCTATGGGTGAGGAGTGTGAGTTTTCGTGGTGAGTGCTAGGGGTGAGTGTTAGGGGTGAGTGTTCGTGGTGATTGTTTGTGGTGAGTGATGGTGGTGAGTGGACTGCACCTGGTGGCAGGAGGCAGCAGCAGGCGGCGACCGCCACGAGGCGCCAGCCGAGACGCTCCATCTCCTCCCGGGAACGTCGATCTTGGTCTCCCACACAGCGACACTGCAGCAGAGAGTGTGAGTGAGAGGGTGAGTGAGGGTGAACCTGTGTGTGTTTGCGCGTCTTAAGTAGCAGTCCCCCGGGTGACCCCTCCCCCCCCGCGCTGTTATCTCTGCGATTTCGCGCGGGGATTCACGCGACGAGGCGCAAAGTTCACGCCGCCGGCGCGACCCCCCAGTGGCCCCCAGCGGCCCCCCCAGTGGCCCCCCCAGTGGCCCCCAGTGGCCCCCCCAGTGGCCCCCCCAGTGGCCGCCCCAGTGGCCCCCAACGGCCCCCCCAGTGGCCCCCAGTGGCCCCCAGTGGCCCCCCCAGTGGCCCCCCCAGTGGCCCCCCCAGTGGCCCCCAGTGGCCCCCCCAGTGGCCCCCCCAGTGGCCCCCAACGGCCCCCCCAGTGGCCCCCCCAGTGGCCCCCCCAGTGGCCCCCGGTGGCCCCCCCAGTGGCCTCCCCAGTGGCCCCCAGCGGCCCCCCCAGCGGCCCCCCCAGTGGCCCCCCAGTGGCCCCCAGCGGCCCCCCCAGTGGCCCCCCAGTGGCCCCCCCAGTGGCCCCCCCAGTGGCCCCCAGTGGCCCCCCCAGTGGCCCCCCCAGTGGCCCCCCCAGTGGCCCCCAGCGGCCCCCCCAGTGGCCCCCCCAGTGGCCCTTCCAGTGGCCCCCAACGCCACCGCCGCCGGCCCCCGGGTGAAGAGGGGTAATGAGGGGTGATGAGAGGGGTGAAGAGGGGTGATGAGAGGGGTGAAGAGGGGTGATGAGAGGGGTGAAGAGGGGTGATGAGAGGGGTGAAGAGGGGTGAAGAGGGGTGATGAGAGGGGTGAAGAGGGGTGATGAGAGGGGTGAAGAGGGGTGATAAGAGGGGTGATAAGAGGGGTGATAAGAGGGGTGAAGAGAGGTGATGAAGGGTGATGAGAGGGGTGAAGAGGGGTGATGAGAGGGGTGATGAGAGGGGTGAAGAGGGGTGATGAGAGGAGTGAACAGGGGTGATGAGAGGGGTGAAGAGGGGTGAAGAGGGGTGATGAGAGGGGTGAAGAGGGGTGATGAGAGGGGTGAAGAGGGGTGAAGAGGGGTGATGAGAGGGGTGAAGAGGGGTGAAGAGGGGTGATGAGAGGAGTGAACAGGGGTGATGAGGGGTGATGAGAGGAGTGAACAGGGGTGATGAGAGGGGTGAAGAGGGGTGAAGAGGGGTGATGAGAGGGGTGAAGAGGGGTGATGAGAGGGGTGAAGAGGGTGATGAGAGGAGTGAACAGGGGTGATGAGAGGGGTGAAGAGGGGTGAAGAGGGGTGATGAGAGGGGTGAAGAGGGGTGATGAGAGGGGTGAAGAGGGGTGATGAGAGGAGTGAACAGGGGTGATGAGAGGGGTGAAGAGGGGTGAAGAGGGGTGATGAGAGGGGTGAAGAGGGGTGATGAGAGGGGTGAAGAGGGGTGATGAGAGGGGTGATGAGAGGGGTGATGAGAGGGGTGATGAGAGGGGTGATGAGAGGGGTGATGAGAGGGGTGATGAGAGGGGTGATGAGAGGGGTGATGAGAGGGGTGATGAGAGGGGTGATGAGAGGGGTGATGAGAGGGGTGAAGAGGGGTGATTAGAGGGGTGAAGAGGGGTGATTAGAGGGGTGATGAGAGGGGTGAAGAGGGGTGATGAGAGGGGTGAAGAGGGGTGATGAGAGGGGTGATGAGAGGGGTGAAGAGGGGTGATGAGAGGGGTGAAGAGGGGTGATGAGGGGTGATGAGAGGGGTGATTAGAGGGGTGAAGAGGGGTGATGAGAGGGGTGAAGAGGGGTGATGAGAGAGGTGATGAGGGGTGATGAGAGGTGATGTTGGACTCCCGGTCCTGGCGATTAAACGACTTGCGGAATGAGATGAGAAGTGAGGTGAGGAGTGAGGTGAGGAGTGAGGTGAGGAGTGAGGTGAGGAGTGAGAGGAGTGTTTTGGAGTGAGGTGAGTGTTTTGGAGTGAGGTGAGGAGTCAGGTGAGGAGTGAGGTGAGGAGTGAGGGGAGTGTTTTGGAGTGAGGTGAGTGTTTTGGAGTGAGGTGAGGAGTGAGGTGAGGAGTGAGGTGAGGAGTGAGGGGAGTGTTTTGGAGTGAGGTGAGTGTTTTGGAGTGAGGTGAGGAGTCAGGTGAGGAGTGAGGTGAGGAGTGAGGGGAGTGTTTTGGAGTGAGGGGAGTGTTTTGGAGTGAGGTGAGTGTTTTGGAGTGAGGTGAGGAGTGAGGTGAGGAGTGAGGTGAGGAGTGAGGTGAGGAGTGAGGGGAGTGTTTTGGAGTGAGGTGAGTGTTTTGGAGTGAGGTGAGGAGTGAGGTTAGGAGTGAGGTGAGGAGTGAGGTGAGGAGTGAGGTGAGGAGTGAGGTGAGGAGTGAGGTGAGGAGTGAGGGGAGTTTTTTGGAGTGAGGTGAGTGTTTTGGAGTGAGGTGAGGAGTGAGCGGAAGAGTGAGGTGAGGAGTGAGGTGAGTGTTTTGGAGTGAGGTGAGTGTTTTGGAGTGAGGTGAGTCTTTTAGAGTGAGGTGAGTGTTTTAGATTGAGGTGAGTGTTTTGGAGTGAGGTGAGGAGTGAGGTTAGGAGTGAGGTGAGGAATGATGGGAGTGTTTTGGAGTGAGGTGAGGAGTGAGGTGAGTGTTTTGGAGTGAGGTGAGTGTTTTGGAGTGAGGTGAGTGTTTTGAAGTGAGGTGAGCATTGAGGGGAGTGTTTTGGAGTGAGGTGAGGAGTGAGGTGAGTGTTTTGGAGTGAGGTGAGTGTTTTGGAATGAGGTGAGTGTTTTGGAGTGAGGTGAGGAGTGAGCGGAGGAGTGAGGTGAGTAGTGAGTTGAGTGTTTTGGAGTGAGGGGAGGAGTGAGGGGAGTGTTTTGGAGTGAGGGGAGGAGTGAGGTGAGTACTCGGTGTCTGTAGGCGACTTTCGCGGGCAGAGGAAGATAATAAAGAACTAAAGAGCCGTTCAGACGAACTTGGCAGACATCAAAATGTCACCGACCACGGATCAGACAAAGCTCCCCGTGCAGTCCGCAGGGCTCCCTGGGGCAAGTGCTGTTCGTGAGCACGCAGATGTGGTGTGGTAGCACCACGCCCGACCGCCTTTGTCTCCCCAGGGCCGATGAGTTACACGGCGGCATGATGCTCGTACGAGGCCGAGTAAAAGAAAGGGGGGAAGGCCAGAAGCGATTCAGGTGTCGATTGCCACTGATGGTAGCCATGAGCGGGAATGTAACTCACCACATAACACACCATCACCACCCTCACCACATCACACACCATCACCACATCACCACATCACACACCATCACCACATCACCACATCACACACCATCACCACATCACCACACCACACACAATCACCACCCTCACCACACTACACACCATCACCACATCACCACACCACACACACCATCACCACCTTCACCACACCACACACCATCACCACATCACACCATCACCACACACCATCACCACATCACCACACCACACACACCATCACCACCTTCACCACACCACACACCATCACCACATCACACCATCACCACACACCATCACCACATCACCACACATCACACACCATCACCACATCACCACATCACACACCATCACCACATCACCACATCACACACCATCACCACATCACCACACCACACACAATCACCACCCTCACCACACTACACACCATCACCACATCACCACACCACACACACCATCACCACCTTCACCACACCACACACCATCACCACATCACACCATCACCACACACCATCACCACATCACCACACCACACACACCATCACCACCTTCACCACACCACACACCATCACCACATCACACCATCACCACCTTCACCACACCACGCACCATCACCACATCACACCATCACCACCTTCACCACACCACACACCATCACCACATCACACCATCACCACCTTCACCACACCACGCACCATCACCACATCACACCATCACCACCTTCACCACACCACACACCATCACCACATCACACCATCACCACACTAAAGTGGAGATATATTTGAATCCACCACGTCACGGCCCAGGTAACCGGTCAAGGCCGCCACCCCCATGGCGGCTGCTGCTGTTACGTGGTTCGAGATAAACACGCGTCCGTGCCAGCAAGACTCCCACGTGGTGACAGATTAGATGGGGGGGGGGGGGGGAGATTAGCAACTCCGCTCTCTCACGCTCTGTCGCTCAGCCCAGGGGCCCCAAGATCCAGAGACCTTCCACTCAGTGTGTGTCTCTGTGTAATGTTCTTGTAGGGAGACGGAGTCGTCGTAGAGGCAACACGGTTTATTTCACTATTACAGGTTTACACTTAAACTTTAACACAAAGGGGTAATGGCCCCTTTCACCCACAACCTGGGGAGGTACAGCCTCCGGGCTATCGTACCTAGTCACTCTGACTCCTCCAGCCCTCCGGCTGGCTAGACCTAGGGGAGGCTGACCCGCCGCTGGTCCGGTGGGTCCCCGACCACTGGCCCGTCCGGACCTGGCCCTCACAAGGACATCAGGCCGAGGGAACCTCAGGGTCCTACCCTCTCGACCACTGGCACCGCACTGAGCCCCGGCCCTTAGAAGGACATCGGTGGCTTGGGGTCCAGGGTCTTCTTCTCCAGGCGGCTTCTGACTTCGGCTTGAGACGAACTGAACTGCGCTCTCAAGGACCCGCTGTAAAGTGTTTGGAGTTTAATTATTGTTAGGGTGTCAGGCACTGGGACTTTGAGGACTTGGTCCAACATGGATTGAATTCGGATGTACCTGCGCTGGTTAGGCATTGCCTCACCAACACTTATTTTACCTGGAATGGCACCTTCTACAAACAGAATGAGGGTACCCCTATGGGCTCCCCCTTGTCACCAGTGATAGCCAACATGTTCATGGAAAAGTTTGAATCAGACGCCGTCCAGACATCTACCCTGCGTCCTTCCTTGTGGAAGAGGTATGTGGATGACACTTTCGTCATTTGGCCACATGGCCTCCCAGCATTGAACCACTTCTTGGACCGCATCAATTCCAGACACCCATCCATCAGATTTACCATGGAAGTGGAGAAAGATGGCAAACTACCATTCTTAGACATTCTGTTTGAGAGGAGACCTGACGGATCCTTAGGACATTCTGTCTACAGGAAAGCCACCCACACAGATTCCTACTTGAAACCTGATTCCCACCACCACCCATCTAAAAATAATTATCTCATCAAAACGCTATACCGCAGAGCTCATGACATTTCTGACCAACACCACCTGGCCAATAAATTAAGACGTACATCGGGCCCTCAGGATGAACGGATACTCTGACTGCACCATCCGAAAAGCTGTTTCTCCCACCGTACAGAAACAGCCACTTGAAACTCCGACCAAAACTATCACGTTGCCATACATAGCAGGCATGACCAAAAATATCTCCAAAATTCTAAACAAACATAAGATCCAAGTCCGATTCAGTACAGTAGATAAATCCGTGACCTAATTCCATCTGTGAAGGATGTCATCCCTGACATGCAATACCCTGGAGTCTATAAACTGAGTTGCAGCTGTGGTGATTGTTACATTGGGGAAACGAAACGTCATGTCTCTGATCGTGTCCGCGAGCACGTCAGATTTGAAACACGGCAAAATTGAGTCTTCCGCCGTTGCCGATCATTGCTACAACGCGGTGGGCTCTGATGATATTGTTTTTTCCGAGACCAAGGTGCTCTGCAAACCCTCTGGCTACCATCAAAGGTTTGTACACGAAGCCATTCAGATATACAAACACAGACATCATTTCAACCGTGATGATGGGTACAAACTTAGTAATCATCTGAAAGATGTTATTAACCATGCAAAAAAGATTTAACTACGCATTTTTGGAGCATCTTATTTGACAGGCACTATTTTACTTTACCGAGTGTTAACATCCCCAGCGTTTCACAGTACTCTCCTTTATCGTATTTGATTGTCAGCCAACACTGGGTAAAAACAACAACATGGGAATTTTCGTTCTCTTCCACCATGTGCACCAACAGGGGCTTGCGCACAAACACGTCCACGTCCACGTGCACCTCGTGCTCTCTTTTAGCCCCCCCCCTCCCAATACGTTCCATTCATTGGCTACCACATTCTGATGAGCTCCCCCCCCTCCTCCCCCTTAACTTGTATTTAAGAATTTGCATCTTGGAATCCCTGCCTCACTTGATACAGCAAATCTGGCTGTGACGGTCCCACCTGATGACGGAGACTTGTGTTGCCTCCGAAACGTCGTGATTTTTATTATTTTATTTTTTATAAATTTTTATTCCACTTTTACCAAAAAGACTAAGAGTATTAATGAGGGTAGTTTAACGAGGGTAGTTTAACGATGGTAGTTTGACGAGGGTAGTTTGACGAGGGTAGTTTAACGAGGGTAGTTTAAAGAGGGTAGTTTAAAGAGTGTAGTTTAATGAGGGTAGTTTAAAGAGGGTAGTATAATGAGGGTAGTTTTATGAGGGCAATTTACCCAACTGCAATAAAAATTCTGAAATCTGAGCTGCTGCTCTCGGAGGTCGCCTCGTTCAGAGGAGGGGGACGGAGGAGGAGGGGTGGTAGAGGAGGGGTGGTAGAGGAGGGGTAGAGGAGGGGGGGTAGAGGAGGGGTGGTAGAGGAGGGGTAGAGGAGGGGTGGTAGAGAAGGGGGTGGTCGAGGAGGGGTGGTCAGCGAAACCGCTCGCTGTGGATTGTGCGAGAAATCCAACTCCTCTCATTACCCTATGTAATACAATTTTTTTCTCTGGGTAGTAAGTGTTATTTTTTTATTGATCATGCCTAAAAATTATAGAAAATGGCTATTATTCCCCACAAACTTTGCTTTTGTGGCCAGGACAGTGATATTTTGAAATGTACCTATTCTCAATGATAAAATGGGCGAATTTGTGTTTATTTGTTCACATAAAGTAAAAAAACCAATATGAATCAAAATTAACATGTATTTATACTAAAATAATAAAAAATATATATCTAGAAATATTTAGAAGTGAGTAGTTTTTAATATTTACGATTATACTGTAAATCACTTTCACATATCAGCTCTCAAATGTAATCTCCCATCATGTTCTCGTTATACTGTCCTTGGTAGCGGCGTTCAAAGTCCAGTATATCCTGGTGAAAGCGCTCGCCTTGCTCCTCCGAGTACGCTTTGATGTTCTCCTTGAATTTATCAAGATGAGCATCAAGGATATGGACTTTGAGGGACATCCTCCAGCCCATTGTGCCATAGTTCTTCACCAGTTTTCGGCCTTGTGATTGCCCAGGAAGCCCCCAACCACTGCGACAAAGCTGTTCCAAGCCGCTTTCGCCTTACGAGTGAGCTTCTTAGGGAATTCGTTGCACTCCAGGATCTTCTTTATCTTTGGTCTGACGAAGACACCGGCTTTGACCTTTGCCTCAGACAGTTAAGGGAAGAATTCTAGAAGGTATTATATTATTAACCATGCAAAAAAGATTTAACTACACATTTTTGGAGCATCTTATTTGACAGGCACTATTTTACTTTACCGAGTGTTAACATCTCCAGCGTTTAACAGTACTCACCTTTTTCGTATTTGATTGTCAGCCAACACTGGTAAACAACAACATGGGCATTTTCGTTCTCTTCTAGCATGTGCACCTACAGGGGCTTGCGCACAAACACGTCCACGTGCACCTCGTGCTCTCTTTTAGCCCCCCCCTCCCAATACGTTCCATTCATTGGCTACCACATTCTGATGAGCTCCCCCCTCCTCCCCCTTAACTTGTGTTTAAGAACTTGCATCTTGGAATCCCTGCCTCACTTGATACAGCAAATCTGGCTGTGACGGTCCCACCTGATGACGGAGACTTGTGTTGCCTCTGAAACGTCGTGATTTTTACTATTTTATTTTTTTATTAATTTTAATTTCATTTTTTACCAACGTGACTTTACCAAAAAAATTAAGAGTATTAATGAGGGTAGTTTAACGAGGGTAGTTTAACGAGGGTAGTTTAACAATGGTAGTTTGACGAGGGTAGTTTAACGAGGGTAGTTTAAAGAGGGTAGTTTTGTGAGTGTAGTTTAATGAGGGTAGTTTAAAGAGGGTAGTATAATGAGGGTAGTTTTATGAGGGCAATTTACCCAACTGCAATAAAAATTCTGAAATCTGAGCTGCTGCTCTCGGAGGTCGCCTCGTTCAGAGGAGGGGGACGGAGGAGGAGGGGTGGTAGAGGAGGGGTGGTAGAGGAGGGGTGGTAGAGGAGGGTGGTAGAGGAGGGGTGGTAGCGGAGGGGTGGTAGAGGAGGGGGGGTAGAGGAGGGGTGGTAGAGGAGGGGTAGAGGAGGGGGGGTAGAGGAGGGGGGGTAGAGGAGGGGTGGTAGAGGAGGGGTGGTAGAGGAGGGGGGGTAGAGGAGGGGTGGTAGAGGAGGGGTAGAGGAGGGGGGGTAGAGGAGGGGTGGTAGAGGAGGGGTAGAGGAGGGGGGGTAGAGGAGGGTTGGTAGAGGAGGGGTGGTAGAGGAGGGGTGGTAGAGGAGGGGTGGTAGCGAAGGGGTGGTAGAGGAGGGGGGGTAGAGGAGGGGTGGTAGAGGAGGGGTGGTAGCGAAGGGGTGGTAGAGGAGGGGGGGTAGAGGAGGGGTGGTAGAGGAGGGGGGGTAGAGGAGGGTTGGTAGAGGAGGGGTGGAAGAGGAGGGGGGGTAGAGGAGGGGGGGTAGAGGAGGGGGGGTAGAGGAGGGGTGGTAGAGGAAGGGTGGTAGAGGAGGGGTAGAGGAGGGGGGGTAGAGGAGGGGTGGTAGAGGAGGGGTGGTAGAGGAGGGGTAGAGGAGGGGGGGTAGAGGAGGGGGGGGGTAGAGGAGGGGTGGTAGAGGAGGGGTAGAGGAGGGTTGGTAGAGGAGGGGTGGTAGAGGAGGGGTGGTAGAGGAGGGGGTGGTCGAGGAGGGTTGGTAGAGGAGGGGTGGTAGAGGAGGGGTGGTAGAGGAGGGGGTGGTCGAGGAGGGGTGGTCAGCGAAACCGCTCGCTGTGGATTGTGCGAGGAATCCAACTCCTCTCATTACCCTATGTAATACAATTTTTTTCTCTGGGTAGTAAGTGTTATTTTTTTATTGATCATGCCTAAAAAGTATAGAAAATGACTATTATTCCCCACAAACTTTGCTTTTGTGGCCAGGACAGTGATATTTTGAAATTTACCTATTCTCAATGATAAAACGGGCAAATTTGTGTTTATTTGTTCACATAAAGTAAAAAAAAAGAATCAAAATATACATGTATTTATACTAAAATAATAAAAAAATATCTACAAAATATTTAGAAGTGAGTAGTTTTTAAAGATTTACGATTATACTGTAAATCACTTTCACAAATCAGCCCTCAAATGTAGTCTCCCATCATGTTCTCGTTATACTGTCCTTGGTAGCGGCGTTCAAAGTCCAGTATATCCCGGTGTAAGCGCTCGCCTTGCTCCTCCGAGTACGCTCTGATGTTCTCCTTGAATTTATCAAGAAGAGCATCAATGATATGGACTTTG